GGTTGAATTTTACTTGCTTATTGAACTAACTTTTAATAAAGCTTTTAGAACTTTGAAGTGATTTGTTTTATGGTGTGTCTGCCTCCCGTGTTTATCGTGGTTTTTTCCCTGACACAACAAACCAACTTTATGGTGGTAAGCAAATTCTCATAAATATATCATTTTCTAGTATGATTTAGAGAAAGGATGGGTGGGGTTGCAGGAAGAATCTACATGTTTCTGAGTCAGAATATGATTTACTGATGGAGGATGTACAGTTAGTTGGTTGGAGAGAGAAACAGAAACAGCCAACGTGTTTACATTACCTCCTAATTTGCTCCTCGTAGCTATTTTTTTGTGTCACCATCTCCTTTTTCAGCTCCGCAATCATCTTCTTAAGCAATTCAGGGTCCTCTGGGTATGAGCTGTCTTCCTCAGCAGGCGGCTTCAGAATGGTGGTGCCATTTTGCCTAGACCTGGGAGGGTCATTCATTTGCAAACACTTTCCCAAATCATCTCTTAGTTGGCTTGAAGAGCTGTTGTGAGCCTGACTCTTAGGACCCTGCCCAGAACTGCAGAGATTGCCAGAGTCTGAGGGTTGTGGGAAACTGAACAGTTTAGAAATTCCCTGAGACAAAGTTCTTTTGTGACCTCCTAAGGGAGAACTAGGCCTGGGCTGGACCATGGATGATGATGATGATGATGATGATGATGATGATGATGATGATGATGATGACCAAAAGTTGCTACTGAAAATGTCAGTTCTGTCTGTGTTTTGGTTCCACTTGTTGGAAGAGATGCTCTCGATACATTTCCTGTTTGGAAGTGTCTGAGTCCTCTTTCGTGCTGTCCGTGTCCCCAGAGCATCTCTAGGTTGAGGTTCTCCTTTTTCTTCTGCTAATGGAGCCAAGCTGCCACTTAATTTGGAGTTAGAAGCTTCTAGATCATCCTTCTGAAAGTAAAACCAAGTATATGAGAGAATACAGGGCTGTATTAGGTACAACGAAGTAGTCCTGCTGGTTTTCATGCCCCAGTTAACATGCATGGAAGACATGCCTAACCACTCCCCCACCTGGCCACCTAGGACATGCTGAGCTTTGAAGAGATGCTTCCCTTCGATAAAGCTTCAGTCAAAAAACCTCCTTGAAGCAAAGCCCTCTTCTCTGCCTCCACTGAGCATGTGTGGTACCTTTACAGAAGCCACTGTCTCTGAGATAGGGCCACTAGTGTAGGTAGATCAGCCTCATCTTGACACCTTGCAAGGTGGAGCACCCTGCAAAGTAAAAACGTGAGGCAGGCATCCCTGGTTCACTCACTTGCATTCTCACCCAGCCCTCTGCCATCTCTGATGGCATCTCCCTTCGGTGCCATTCAAAGGGTAGAGAGCTACCTGATGCAGATCATCTTCCCCCACTGGCAAGGTGGACTGATGAATCGACATGGCTAGGCCCAAGACTTGGAAGTTCTTGGAGTCCTTGCCAGTCAGTCATGAACCGTTAATTAATTATTTTTCCTCCTGAACCAGAGAGCTAGTGCCATGGAGATGACCACCATGGCCATCTTCTTAAGACCGTTATAAGAATTGATGAGCTAAAGTAAGAAAACAGTTACAGACCTTTGGAGTACTCTCCCATCAGACAAAGTCCTGCATTGTGTTGGAAGCCACCCAACGAACCAGAGCCAGAAGCGGAGAGGACGCCCGCTCTGTGTCTGGCATTTTTCTCCCTTCCTTCCTGACCTCTTCTCTCTCTCTTCCCAAGCCACAGACCTCAGGCAATAGATACGCGATCCTTGGACTGATTTCCTCCTGAATGGCTTTGTAATGAAATCAAGGACTGCCTGGAATGCCACAGCGGCAGCATCAAAAGTATTCTCACACCAGTTTCTCTAACAAAACTAACATGTGAGAAGAAATAAAGCACTCCCAACAATGTTGTGTTCCACGTATCTCCTGGGCTTCTCCTTGTCTAATGTTTTTCCTCGAGCATTTTTGTTCTCAGCGGCTGCTCCTTCCCCTTCTGGCATTAATCATCTGGGTGATTTGTAGCCAGTCAGGGAGCCGTGCGCTTAATCCTCCTGGGCATGTGCAGCCCATCAAGTCAGGCTATGTGATGAGATTGCTAAAAGCAAGGGCAGGCGGGAAAAGCGAATTTAGCAAACCTTTCCTCAAGCCATGCCAACGCTCCATCAAAAGCAGCAAACTGTCTTATCGCACAATGGCCACTGTTTGCAAAACAAAAAACACCCCCATAAAGATGAGGAGGATAATAAAAACAGAGGATTGCTTTCAGGCATCACAGACGGGCGAACTCTAGTGGTACTCTTAATCATGCACGCAATCATCGTCTTCTCTGAAATAAGGAGGCTCTATTCCAGGGCTTCCCCAGTTTGCCCGCTTTAAGATGCGTGGACTGCAACTCCCAGAATTCCCCAGCCAGGAAGCATTTTTCAAGAGTGCTAAACCTGTTTTTACAAGGAGCCTGAACAGGATTTGACAAGCACTTCAGAAAGGGCCAGCAGGGAATGGTCAAAAAATCAAGACAGCTCCCCCTGTTTTTTATAGGTGTTGATGCCCACAGGTGAGTACAGGCAGGTGCATGGAATCAACGCACCTGAAAAGCAGGCAAAGCTTTGATTGGAC